TTACTTTAGCCTCTACTGTGCAGCCACACCCCTTTCCCTGTGCCAAGACTAGGGAATCATTCAACCAGAGTGAATCTAATGAACTCAGCAATCTAAGAATAAATACACTATTTTTCTGGGGGCATAGCTTCCAGTCAGATTCACAAACTAACCACAACCTATCCATTTATCAAACCACAAGAATACTGCAAAGGAAGGGCAGGGGAATGGCAAGACCACTATTTGGACAGCAATAGCCTCCTGGCTTAGTTTAAAGCCATGATAAAACTACAACACAAACTCCTGCCTGAAAATTCCTGTAAATACCCATTAATTCTGCCCCACATACTCATGGGACAAGTAACAATGTACTTCCTTTACAAAGGTTCCAACTGCCATTAACACTCCTATCTTCCAGTTTTGATAGAAAGATGGCTCAGCATCCCGCCATTAGACATATATAAAAGGATAAGGGATGCTAATCAGCTATTCCTATCTGGCAGGAATGTGTGACCACAATCTGCTCATCTTCATTAGCAAGATTCATCAACATACTGTGGTAAAAACTAGCTGGAAACAAGATCAAGAACCCTACTGCAAACAGACCTCTGCATATATACTGTTACCTTAGCAGCTGGAGACTTGTGCATTACTGCTGTGAGGGCTTGAATGGTTGATACTGCCAAGCAGTCTAGGTGTCCCTGAAACACCTGAAAGTAGCAGGTACAGAAGTTATATACAAATGAGCAGAGACAGTTCAGCTCCAAAATCTATACTGTGCCCTCCTGCCAGGAGGGAAACCAAGAGTTGCTAACATGCTTCAAAAATCATTTCCCCACCAGTGAAGATTTCATAACCCCACAGCCTACAAGGAATCACATAACAGTAGACAACTAGCCACATACTTCAAGAGGAGAGAAGCATTCACAACACACATTGCACTTCAAATATTCTGATGGACAAACAGGTTTTCCTCATGCGGCTAATGGACAACCTCAAGAGGGAGGGAGGAAAACAAATTAGGAAACCTCTTGCAGTATGTGTGTGTGCTGCTGGACAATCAGGCACCTGCAGTGTTTTCTTTTCCATCCAAGTCCCTACACACCAATGCAACACACACACACACACACACACAAAAATTACAAGAGATAAGTCACACCAGCGCAGTAAGGTGGCTGTCTCACCCATAGCCTCATCACATTGATCAACATCTCTTTTTCCAATTCAAGTCATATTTTTGATGGTTTGATATTTTTTTTTCCTATAATCCTTGTTTATATTGATATTTCTATGGTGGTTTTAAGGACAAAAATATCGGAGCACTATTTTGCATCCATCAGCAAACCTAATTAGCAAAACTGTGCAAACAAACATACTCTGTTTTGTCATCTCAAATATTATATGCATATCAGACATACTTTGAAAATGAAATGTCAAGAATCAGAAGACTGTGTTAGATGTGAAGAAACATTTACATGTGGTTAGTGTTGCAGTTAGTTTCTAAAAAAGCCAAAGCTACTACTTCGAATCACAATTTGTAGATTACCACACCCTGTGTTTAGCATTTCTTTACATTTTTTAATCAGAACAAATCATTCTACTATAAAATTAATAGAACAACAATTTGCATTTGAAACTTTCCACAGTATTTTGGGGAAAATTAAAGCAACAGGCTATTCCTACCTCCCTGATTCAGCCTGTCCATTGTTTTGTGAACATCTGTTCTTGATGACAAGCAAAGAATCAGGACATCAAATACAACCATTGAGATTCACAAACAAGGCCCCAGAATCCAAAACACCACAGTGCTGAGACAAAGAAGCAAAAAAGAAGAAAGGGAGGGAAAAAAATCACCACCAGGTTGATAGAATTTATTTGGATTCCATTCATGTACTTCACCTTTTCCTTAAAAGAAGCATAACTGAGCCTCAATCAATTGCAAATATCTGCAGTTTGAAGCAGATAAATAAAACTGAGGTTGAATTCAATCCGTTATCCAGAAAAACTATTTTCCAGAGACAGGAAATACTGATGTGTGCAGCAACACACGTCCAACTTGCTGCAGAAGGCTTAAAGAGGATGGTTAAGGTGAAGCACAGGAATCAATTTTCCTGTGATTGTGTCTTGACTTCAATTGAAGCAAAATACAGGTTAGGTAGGTACCTGGTCCTCATTCATTTCTGTCAGTAATTTGTTGGCAAGGTCTTTCTCACTCTTGTCTGCCACTTTATTGTTAGCATTTAAAAACAGCTGTTAGAAACAGAGACAAGAATAATGGAAATAATTGCATTAAACATTTACCTGCAGCCAAACCTGTGGAGGCTGCCTTGGATTTGTATTTCACATACAAAGAGTTCTCACACTGGTGAGACACAATCCTCCACTAGTATTAGCCTTCTGCTAATTCTTACAATACTGAAGATTACATTGTATTTTTGCTAAATAGTAATAGCTTCCCCCTCCCCCCAAGAATTAAATGAAAATATGCAATCGCTGAGACAAGGAAACAGATCTATCCGGAATTTATACTGGTCACTGGCTTGGCAACTGTGACTTCATTTACAATATGCAACATGACAGGAGGTTCTCAAAAATTTACTTGTAAGAAGTAAAGACAACAGTGGGGCTTTAGCAAAGAAATGGATACGGGTGTTTCACCATTTTCCACTTATGTTTCATCCTAGGTGAGGGCTGAAGATACCTAGACAGAATATTTTAATCTTCAAACAGCAACAGCAGCAGAATTTCTGGGGCACAGTCTTTAGGGCAGGAAGAAGGGTAAAGTATCTCTGCCATCATCATAAGAATCAGACAGGTTGTAAATAGCTTTAAATCAAACATACATACACCTACACTGCATCTTCAGCTAAGAAACTGCTCTGTCTATAGTAGCTAACTTCCTAGTCAGTTCCTGAATTTGCAAGTTTAAAGGTCACCCAAATATCTTCATAATCAATTGCAGTCACTTTGTGTGCAAAGTTTAGCTGTAACCTAATTGGGCCTAAAATTTATTTTCTTTTGTTTTTAGATTCTACTGAGGTGTTAAGAAAAAATCCCTGATCAAAATGTTTTAAGTCCCTTAAAAAAAAAAGAACACTACTTTCCTTTAGTGTGTAAAAACTAAGCATTTGTCATTTTTTTTCCTCATACATTTTGTTCCATTATCTGCTAGATAGTCTGTCTGAAGAGGAACAACCAGCGAAATCAAACTCCCTAAGTTAGAGCAAACAGAAGGACAACACTCAAGATACTACTTTGACTTACATAGGTGTGAAAGCACATCGTTAGAAACACAAGTCATTTTTAAAGGTACATCACGGTCAAGAGCACTTAACACTGCAGAACAACTATAATATGCCTCAGAGGGTTATAATATTAACAAGTGGAAATAAGAACATTTAACAGAAGCAAATGCAGACACACAAAAACTTTTCAAATTTTTCGTATGGATTACTTCATTTCTGATAATACATGTAAAATGGAAAAACAGATTTTTATTACAATGTCCATATAGTTTTAATTCTTCTATTTAAAAGCTGTTCAGAAATAATAATTTTTTTTTTTTAACCAGACATACTGCTAGAGGTCATTGTGCTTTGCTCAAAGTCTGACCTCTGTAGAGTTTAATAGATGAGAAAAGACTCAGGACCAACAAAACAGCTTGTTAAACAACTCTCAGTATAGAATAAGCACCTCCTGATACCTCTAAAGTACAGTCCCTCTTTTCCGATGTCACAGGCAAAAAGCAACATTCAGATCATCAAAACTTAATCGAACAGTTTTGAAAAGCTTTTGTGCAGATCTCTAACCCTAGAGCACAGTCAAGGGAAAACAGTTTGCCCATAAGCCTTAAAACCAGCAAATGTGAAAAAAAGATTTAAATTTTAGAAGATCGTTGAACTGCAAACAACTAGGAAACATGACTAGACGTATGGCCTTGAATACCTCAAGTTCTTTGTGATATCGATATCAGGAATAGTCGTATGGATTTCTTTACCCCTCCTTTCCATGGAAGTTTCCTGCATTTCAAATTTGCTGAAGATTCAATAGCTTCCTGAGTTTCAGAGCTGCAGAACTGCGCTTTACACAGCTTGCTGGTGAACCCAGTAGCAAGATTTTCATAGGTAAAGAAAAAAGATCTAGAAACAGGGTCTCCACCCCCAGACAATACGGAGAAATCCTAATGCCACAGCTAAATTCATCTTTGCTATTTGGCTTTGAAAAAGAATGGAGGTACAGTATATTGGAAAATACAAATATATACCACCTTCCCAGCCTCCACCCTCTCCCCAATTCTCATCCTTGGGGGTATTTTGACTGTGAAAGGTTACCCCTGCCCCCCCCCCCCCATGGAGCAAACTGGCAGCATTGATATCCAATCACAATAATATGTGAGACTATCACAGGAAAAAACTCTCAAAAGAGCGTATCTTATGAAATACATACAGGCAGAATGAAAATAAAAGGAGCAAGCTGCAAAAAATAGAGTAGCTGTTCCTGCTTTCTTAAATTCCACCACTTGTTTATATGAGAGAGGGAACATAGCTAGAGTCTCCATGAACAGGTAAACACATTGCTTGATGATTTAAGAAACTAAAAAAGAAATTTCTTATAGAGCACAAGGTCAGTACAAAAATAGGCACAGATTCCCAAACAGAGGAGGAGAATTGAAAGGTCAAACAATGTATTTTCAGGAGGAGATAAAAAACTACAAACACTATTCAAAACACTTTAAGTCAGTTGGCATTCTGCCACTTAACTACAGTTAAGACATAATTCAAACACATTTATTTTTAATATATCACTGCACTGAAATACATTCTAATCCAAAATCTAAATGGATTTGAATGAAATTGCACACTGTAGCCAGCATTAAATTATCTAGCATTAGAAGAGCTCAAAATATTCCACAGAGTTACATCATATCTATGTTCTTTTGCAGAGGGAAAAATGAGATCTACAAAACAATCAGTGGAAGACATTAGCTTGCAAATTATGAACATCTGGGATTGAGATGAAAACACAACATCTATGTAAACACTAAATCCTATGTAGAAGGAGAAGAACAATCAAAGAACATTTGTAACAGCTTGAGCTCATGTTTTATGTCAGCTACGCAAGACTCAAATATTTTGAAACAAAGGCATACCAGCAAGGTTTTTTTAAATGGAAAAATATGCCTCTGAAATTATAATTCAGACCTCCATCTGGCAGCAGTTGTAAGTGACTTCCTAGAAATCCAGTGACAGAATATTTAAAAAAAAAAAACCCAAAACACACCCCACAACACAACAAAAAACCCCTACCAAACAAAAAGCAGGTGGGGCATTGACTCCAGTAACAACCTTAACAGATTTTAGAGACTGAGCAGGGTCTGTAAAGGTATTTTGCTCAGGACTCAAAATAAGCATTCATTGCTTTAACCACAAAACAGACAAGAAACACCTCTACTTCATCAGGAATAAAAAAAAAGATTTTAGAGCAACTTGGATCTTTCAGATCTTTCATAGCATTAGTGGCTCTAACCGATCCAAAGTTTTACTTCCAGTATGTAGACGGTATAAAATTGCATCTAATTCAGAAGGAAGATATAAAGGTTATTAATATACCTGCAATATCACAAGACAGATTTTGTTAAAAATATGCTGATAAGGGAAAAATTTACCTTGCAGTTCTGCAACAGTCGAATGAGATGCTCAAAGCAGTTACTGTTAAGGAAAATTGCCTGCAGAACAGGCCTATCTGTGCAGTCTAACATGGCTGTGATGGTATCTATAAAATTAAAACAGAACTGGCATCAAAGACAAAACACTTCCCAAATCCATCAAGCATTTTTTCTGCACATTACATAATAAACCCAAGGGAAAAAACTTATATAACAAACTATATGCTGTGAATTCATTGGCCAAGAACAATGTGCATTTTAAACACAGAACACTAGGCCTAAAGCTAAACATTTTGATGCTGTAAAAATAATCAAGTAACATACTATATCTGGAGAAAAATGCAGTTACTGAATATCTTTGATTGCTCTGGGACTCTGTTTAAAGTCATTGCCATTTGTTAGCACATAAGCAGCATGCCTTTTATTTACAGCACACAAACACTTGCTCCCTCATCAAGCAATTACTCTGCATTCTACAGCAGCCTTGTACTGTAAGCATTCTTCACCACCTCAGTACTATTCCTCAGTTTTCTTGGAAGTTTGGGAAAAGAAATACCTTTATTTATTCCCATTCTGAACATCAAAGTGGAAAAAACTCCAAATCCTGAATTCCTATCCAATGACTTAAACCCAACTGTTTCAGACCATCACCTTTGGCCAATGTTTACAACAATGCTGAAAGGGAACTATCACAAAACAGCCACCACATGGGTATTTTATTACAGACCTACCTTATTCTGCAATTATTAAGGTGCTGATTAGTGTCAGCTATCGCCTAGCCAAAGTTGTTCTGGTTTTTTTTTAATGGAGACTAGCAGTCTGTGAACCTTGACACTCTATGATTTCTTCTGGGCTGTTTGGTTTGGTTTTTTTGTTTGGTTTTTTGGGGTTTTTTTTGTAGTGAGTGATTAAACAAGAATACATCTAAAGTAATGTCAATGAAGAAGTGTTTTGAAATTTTTCAATTGTTTAGCCAAGTGAACAGTTTTTAGTAGAACATTCTGTTATATTACCATCATGGTTCAATCATTACTTGCTTTGGAGTTATTATCAAGAGACATTTAAAGGAACTGCACAACTGGGTACTCACTCAGCATTTGGATCTGTAGTGCTATGAACCTGCTCTCCCACTGCCTGCATCGCCTTCGATTAGGTAAAGCTGAATGGTCTGAATTAAGTAACTTGAAATAGTTCTCCAATATTGTACTTGTCTCCACTTGCCGCTGGTCAGAACTGCTGGTTAGAAGGATATGGACAACTTCTGTCAGGCACTTCAGAGTCAGCTCTGCCTTCCTGCTCACTTCCTCAGGGTTCCTGTCATCCCAGTTGTCACAGTCTGCTAAAACACGCATCAAAACTTCCATGGTGGCAGGAGATACTGCTTGAAGAGCATTCCTCTGAAACCCATGGGGGGAAAAAAAGTGATTGAAGAAATAATAACAAATAAATAAAATCAAATCTCTTTAAACCAGCAGTTTCTGAGTTACCTGAATCATGCAACATGCATTATTATGCCTGTTAATGCCCTGTAACTGTTAAATAAATATGAAACATTCTACTTCGATTATATTGATGGCTACAGAAGAAGTACATCCCATCTTGTTCACTTAACTAGGCTTTCTTTTTCAAAGAATGCTTACAGGGAAAAGGAAATATAATTTAAATGCATGTTATAAAATTCTTATAAGATAGTTTTGATAAACTGCTAATTCTAGGTTAACCTTCACTTGAATTTTCATTTTAAATCACAAGATTCATGATACTTTAAAATGTTTGAGAAGAACATAATAATTAGCAAACATTTGTCTGGGCCCTGAGTGCATTTCCCTCACCTCTCTTCCTGGGGGTCTGACTGCATTGGCTCAGGGCCACCTGAAATCTGGGGCAGGAGCCCAGCCACCTAGAGAGCTTGGAGAAGCCTTTTTTCAGGGACTCCCTGCCTTCTCTAGGGTGCTGCATTCAAGCTGCGGCTCTCAACCTTTTACCTGCCTGAGCTACACTGCAGCCATGCCCATGCCAGACCACGTACTGTCTTGAACCTGACCGACAGACTTGACTGCCTGGCTTGACCTTAGACATGCCTCATTACTATGGATGGGCCTGGCAACCACTGGACTCTTGACTGACCCTAGTTACCATCACTAGACTAAATCCCCACCCTCATGTGCTGACCAGGCTTCCTGGCTTGATCTCGGGCTTAGGGTCTGGAGCACAGGCCTTATGAGGAGCGGCTGAAGGAACTGGGGTTGTTTAGCCTGGAGAAGAGGAGACTGAGGGGAGACCTTATCACTCTCTACAACTACCTGAAAGGAGGTTGTAGGGAGGTGGGTGTTGGGCTCTTCTCCCATGTAGTTAGCGATAGGACGAGAGGAAATGGGCTTAAGCTGCACCAGGGGAGGTTTAGGTTGGAAATTAGGAAAAATTTCTTTACGGAAAGGGTGGTCAAGAATTGGAACAGGCTGCCCAGAGAGGTGGTGGAGTCACCATCCCTGGAAGTGTTCAAAAAATGGGTAGATGTGGCACTTTGGGACACAAGGGTAGTCTAGTCTACCCTTGATTGGCTTAGAGTAGACTTGGTAGTGTAGGTTAATGGTTGGACTGGATGACCTTAAAGGTCTTTTCCAACCTAAATGATTCTATGATTCATCGCTACAGACTTGCCTAGTGATCTGGGCTGGTTGATCCTGGTTACCACCACCAGACCCGCTCTGATCACCTTGTTCAGGTATAGTGAGACTGCACCTTTTGCCAGTGAGGTCAACTGCCTCTGCCTGCCTGGTTATCATACTCAGTCTCAGCTTGCCTTCCTTGGCAGAGCACTGCCTGGCTTTGCTATTCCCTGACAACATTTCAAAATGCTCTCTCTTCTGGATCATCAGAAGTAACATTTGCTTGTGACCAGACTAAGTAGCACATTACAGAAGTCAGCCAAAAGAGTGGATGTTGGCTTTGCTGATGATGAACATCGTCTTTTCTTCACATTCTTTCAAAGATTTTAAACAGCTTCCAAGCTAAAAAGGCCCTGTGCCTCTTACTGAAACAGCTTACTTCCAACATTGGGAAGTAAGCTAGATGAATTTCATGTGTTGATATAAAACTTATATCTTTGCAGGTGGAAATTTCTAATCTAGTTACCTGCCTTTTTTTTATGATAAGAAAATATTACAACAAGCTCATATGAAAGTGTAGTTATTGTAGACACCCATTTTCTACTGTTATTTGAAAGCAGGACCTAGCTTTTAGCATTTAGATACTATTGCATGGAATGACCCCAAACTTTGTAAGACAAACAAACAATTCATAGTCAATAATAAATTCTTCTCCGTTATGGGGTGTTTATAAGCCTTAAACAATGAACAGAAATTTGGAGGCTTCAGCAGCTGAAAAGAGTTTAGAGCATCCTCACCTGACCACCAGCCACAATAGCTCCAAAGAGATGCAGCAAGCAACATTTTAGGCTTTCCTTGAGATGTTCGCTTTCTTGAAAGCATTCTGATTCAAGTAAATAAAAAGGAGAATAATTCCTTACTTTGGTCATATAAATTATACAAAGTTTTTCCTCTCAGAAAAACACACCAACAAATGAAATAATAATTAAAAAAAAAGCTCCTCTACTCCCTGTCATCATGCAAATTTAAAAAAAAAATTCAACTATATAATCTCCACTTTCTTTTACATAAATCAGACACAAACACATCAATTCCAGCATTATCAAAGTAACACGACAAGACCACATTTATCAGGAATTCACAGGGCCAGACCTTCACCTTGCAGAAAACGTTTCATGCAGGCTGACAGAACTATAGACATACAACAACTCTTGATCTGATCAATAATGTAAAATAAGCCCATTTTGTCCATACTAATGAGAAATAGAAGGACATGCTAACACGCAAGCAATCAGCAAGCATGACAAAGGTTAGAACAATTTTGGCACAGAAAGTCTAACGCCATATGCATTACAGCTAGCTCAGAAAAACAGTCCCTGAGTTTGCTCCCTTTAAGCTAAACTTCCCACGGAAGCCTGTGCAGGTCTGTAACCTTTCTCACAGTAGTCTCTTTGAAAACAATCATCCTGCATCTCCTCTCATGCCATATCTGATATAAATTAGTTATAGACAGCCTCAGGAACTCTTCTTAGCAATAGATATGACCTGGATATTGTTGCTACAGCAATAACACTAGACTCAAAGTAGCTGCAACAAACTATAAAGGATTATTTTATTTGGAATTAACCATCATAAATCTTCCAATAACTTTGAAACAGAACTGATAATGACTTGTGTTTGTAAAAACTGAGATTTTAAACAATAGAAATGGAAAATGCAAGAATTTTATATTCATTAAAATAATAATATAACCTTTAAGACAATTACCATTTATTGGCAATTAAGACTTCCGACTATATACTGAATGTATAAGCCCATTTAAAAAAAAAAAATTGCTCAGCTATTTTTTAAATCTGGTCTTCAAAGGAAACAAAGCTTAGATGATCACACTGTTAGTCTGCTAGTCCCATCACTCCCTTGACTTACAGCCTCTGAATCTTTTGGGGAACGACAAATTCAAAAGAGCAGTACCTAGCAGATTGTGAATAAATCATTAGGCTGGGTAGACCAAAAAAGCCTCAAATTAGTGCTGCCATGGCAGAATGTCTAAAGCACATGCTCAGCAATTTCTTGTTCTGTCTTTCCTGCCAGCTGGCCAACTAGCAGATGAGTACCTGCCAGCTATTAGTACACTTGCAGCTCAGTCACAGTATGTAATGGATTTAGGAGGAACCAGAGTGCAATGCACTGAATGGGGAGGAGAGAACCTGCAGATGTCATTCCTCAGTAGCAGCCTTTAACATGGATGTCCAGTGCTCCAGCACAAAGATAACAGCATTTTACTGGCATCAGCTCTTTGGTCTTTTTGGCAACTAGCCTATTTTACATACACAGAGAGGGAATCTCAAGGAATAGGTGGAGTATGTGACTCCAACCTAGAGAAAACAAACTCACAAATGCTACCATGCTAGGAATAGAACCTTCCTTTTTTTATTTTCAATTAAAGCGAAGCTAACAGATAGCTGCAAAAAGGTCTGATTTCACTCATATCCCCAACCCCTTTGGCATACTCCTGCTGCTTCAATTCTGTTGGCACTAGCACTTTGGTGTGCTAAACTGGCAGACTAGCTGGGCATCCCACCTTCCCAAGATTTAAGTACAGAATGTGCCCACATAAGTCCTCCTTTTCCACACGGCCAATCTGGAATGGTAAGAACACATGAATTCTAAAGTAGCCATCATGATATTTAATGACTTAACCAGAGACAAAACAGAGCAGTTTCCCAAACTGCAGTCCAAGGAGCATTTGCTAGTTGGATGGCATAGTTTCCTTCTTTCCGGCTGTTAAATCATATTAAGAGACAAAAACGCAGGAACACTTTCCTAAGATTATTTTTCTACGCAAGTTACCATTACAGTTGCTACAGGGTTCTTACGTGCAATCACTATATGTACCCTAATAAATGGGAAAGTTGGCAATTCCCAGAACCAACCCTATTAAACCACATTAGGCACTGAAAATGAGTCTGAAAAAACACAGGCTTTCAAAGATGAGTAAGAATGGCAAGATGGTGATGCTTGGAGCAAAAAACAAGCAAACAAAGCAACCCACTTTGTTCAGCCTCAAAAAGCAAGTAAGAGGCTTTTACATTTATCAGGTATTCTTAGGGGAAAAGAACTTGGAATCACTAAGTTCACTCCTCCAAAGATTTTTTTAAGCATGCTCTTAGTAATACTTACGGTAAAAAAAAGGGACAAACTCAACAGTGAGCGAAGCTGGTTTATACTTCTGTCTGCTCTTTTCAACTGTACTAAGGAAACGTCTGCAATTACATTAAAAAAGATACACCAAAGAAATTAGACATGCTACCTTTGTTTATGACTTATTAATTTATTACTTCATAATAGAAAACGCTGCCAAAAATCGGGAGATATCTTTTGCCTAGGGTAAAAAAAAATTAGTAAAGTAATATTTCATCCCCAAAAAATGAATCCCATATTTACTGTTCTGCTCCTCGAAATACCTTAACTTTTTACAATACAGTTTACTTTAAAAAAACAACCACAAAAAAGCCAGCAATCTGTTATTTAGTCTTTGCTCATTGTAACTAAGCCACCAGCTAGACTGCCAGATTTCTTAACCGTGCGATTTGAAATAGGCACAAAACATTATTATGGGTTCATGGCCAGGGGGGAACCGTCAAATTCAAGGGATATAATTCCACTGATACACTTATAAACTTCTTTTCAAAGATGCAACATACTGTGATACTCAATAACTTTTTTCCTAATTCAAGCAGGTCTGCCTACCCCATTCCTTTTGGCTTCCTTGTTCCACCAGTTTACAAAAAAGGGCCAGTTTTTGAAAGGAGAAAGCAATGGAAGGACCTTCATGTTGGTCAGTTACAACCAAACACCTCTTAGTATATCCTCAAATTTAATTTTGTTTTAACTTCTAGACTGCCAGTAAATACATTATAATTTCAAAAAGGTATTTAAATCATATCTAGTTGCAGAAAGCATAACACTTTTCTGTGGTTTGATTATATTGATTCATTGCCAAATTCTGCACCTTCCTTGGTTGTAAATTCACTGACTTTGAGTACTTATACTCTACCTAAGATACCACGAGATGTGCTGGCATTACCTACACTAAATCAGAAACCAGCTTAGCAGTACACTGGCAGGCCATATGTGAGAACTGGTGTCAATTCATACGCTGTCCTAGAAAAGGGGAATGGCACAAAAATACCCGAGGTTGTGATGCTTACGTGCTCCTTAAAACTTTGTGCATAACGACTGAAGCTGTTATTGAGAATGCTACCTTTTGTTTCCATAACAGCCTTATGAAACCTGCAGTCCATGCAGTATTATGGCATACTGCAGGTTTCGAGCTATAGTCAAAATAGTAGTTCGAGCTACCCTGGCAGCCAAGGTACACAGCTCACATGATCACCACTCTGTTTGCACAGAGTAGGATGAGTGACTTGCTGCACAAATACAAGTCACAGAGCTAGCACACATGCTGTGCTAGCTCTACAGAATGTATGCTGTGAGAATGAACCTGAGGTTTTACAAAAGTAGATAACATGAGATATGATCTCTCTACACCTTTAGTAATTTGCATGCACAGGTCCAATATTTGATGCATGTCAAAATGGTCATGATGGAAATAAAACTGAGGACCTAAAGGAAAAGCAGCTCTGAATGATAGCAGCAAGGAGCAAACAACAACTTCAGCCCTTTGTACACACAGCAGAAAAACACGTTAACTATACAAGACTAAGTACATTTAACATTATTGTAATTAATTTGGGGCTAATAAGGGAGAACTGTACGTGAAAAATATCTCACAGAAATTTATAAGAGGTCTCTGAAAAGCCAGTTATAGCAGATAAAGTGAATCACTAGCAGTTTCAAAGAACAGGGCCTGTGCCACAGTTTTTGTTGTGACTACTCAGGAATTGAGGAATCAGAGTAACTACGATGTTAAAACCCACAGAGCAGATTTCTCTAGACTTTATGAAACTTAACAATGAAACAAACCCACATCTTCAGTTGCCTTTGATTTTATGTGTGTGTTGTTTAGCCTGGAGAAAAGGAGACTGAGGGGAGACCTTACTGCTCTCTACAACTACCTGAAAGGAGGTTGTAGCGAGGTGGGTGTCGGTCTTTTCTCCCAAGTAACAAATGACAGGACAAGAGGAAATGGCCTCAAGTTGTACCACGGGAGGTTTAGATTGGATATGGCAAAAAATTTTTTTCACTGAAAGGGTTGTCAAGCATTGGAACAGGCTGCCCAGGGAAGTGCCTGAGTCACCATCCCTGGAGGTAATTTAAAAGATATATAGGTGTGGTGCTTAGGGACATGGTTTAGTGGTGGACTTGGCAGTGCTAGGTTTATGGTTGGACTTGATGATCTTAAAGGTCTTTTCCAACCTAAACGATTCTATGATTTTATGATTGTATTACAGAAATTAAGCATCTCAGAAAGCCCATTTCCTGGCTCTCTGTACTTCCCACCTTTCAAAAAGCCTCAACTCGGCTTTCAACTAAATGGAACAGGATATATCAGTACTCTCACAACTTTGGTGGCAATGAAGTTCAGTTTCAAGCACACCTGCTTCATGATGTTAATTTTGGTAGAAAAAATATTTCATTAATGCTATTCTAAAGAGTTTATCTTCCAGAGAAAAACCCTAACACACAGTATCAAATGCTCAAGGCTATCAATTCTAACAGTTGTAAAATTAAATGGCAGAAGAATATACATGTAACTACTTTTTATTTTAGTTTGACATCAGGCAGCAGTAGTTCTGTCAAAAACTTTACATATTGTTTATCTAAAGTTATCATAAACCACAGTATTTATAATCTTGTCCTAGTCCACACATACCCTGCAATTCGCTGCCTCCAGTTTCGATATGGATCGTACAGACTTTCACAAAAAGCCAATGCATGTCTCACAAATTCTTCCATGGGGGTCTGATCTGCCACTTCTTTTTCTTTTGTTTTGCTTTTTAACTGAGGGAAGAAAGCAAGCCGTGGTCAGAAGATTTCTAAAAGTTGAAAATTAATGTTGATCCCCTCCAGAACAGTTCTAAGCCCACAAATTGTTCCCCACACAACACTATTATTGAAAAAGTGCAGGAGCAGGAAATACTAGATGGCAAAAATAACAGATGAGAATTGTTAACCACATACCTGTTGAATGTATAACGTAGTCATGGTGATAACATGGTTAATGTATGAACACATCCCAATCTCCTCCACATTAGCCAAATTTCTATGAAGACAACATAAAAACCACAGAATGTACACAGTGTATCATTTGAGGCTAGTTCAAACACTGTTTGTTTTAGCATTCTGCCTATAATCATACAAGAGGATATGAGCATTTCAAAAATACTCTCCAAAGGACTGCATGTACTCAGATGTTTATTTCTGTCACAGTAACAAAGCTCACAAGTTTTCATCTAAGAGGAAGGAAAAGAAAGACCTGAGTCACTCTGCTGTAGACCAATTCTATCTGGAATTTGGGGTTTCAGAGGTTAAGCAGATTCCCAGGACACACTAAATAGAGAGCTCAGAAATGGCATCTGATAACGAAGACAGTAACTTCCACTTCTCCCACATTACTAGCACATACACTCTCTAAAACTTTAGTAAACATATTACCTAGAAGCATTTATTCACTTTAAATTCTCCCAAGGAAAACAAACATCTAATAAATTATTTTAGAACATAAATAAATCAACAGCAACAAAGAAATAGCATGCACACATTATTTTTCAGTCTTGAGGACAAGTCACAAAGATCAGATACTGAAGTGATGACATAAGGAGAACTTTTCAGCAATTAAATAAGACTGACAACAGTTTGTAATTGATAGACACCTTACCACCATCTACTCAGCTTATATTTAATATTCCAGGATACTTAAACACTGCCCTACAGCCCTTTGTATTGTTTCAGAGGCAAGGAGAGCCAAAGCACTCAAAAAAGGCTGCTTCAAATACTCCTCAGAAAAGGACATTCCTTATTACATTTTATCCCCTTCCTCTCTTAATGCAGTTTACAATATAAGACTGAAGAAATAGTGAGGAATAGATCCCTAACAACAGTTTATTCACTTGCTTCAACAGAATTACAAAATAAGGCATAAATTTCAGAAGGAAGCCAGTTGTATTAGTAGTGTAGTAAGTCAGTTTCCTAAGCTGTTTATGGAATTATAAGCATGTTAAGAATGTGAAACAGTTCTTCCTGTACAATTCTCTCTCAAGTTATTTCATATCCAACACTTGTTAGAGTGTGCCTTTTCTTTTAAAAGTATTTCTTATACCAGGTACACCATATCTTAAATTCCCATAGATATATCTTATATCATTACAAGGAATTTAGTGTTTAATCCCCTTCTATTCCATTTCTTATGGCAAAAATGATTGCAAAGATGATTGCATTGCTCCCCTCTCTCTTGTCCTTGATTTTGAAGATTGTGAGAAGCGGCATTTCTCTGTTTCTACTGGAAAGTGTAAAATCACGTTGTATGTGTCATTAGAATCTATATTTATAGGCTGCATCAAGATTTCTTAAACAAAACAATAGCCTTGCTGAGGTAACAATCAGAACAAATACCTGCAAAGGATGATAAAGAATTTCACAAGTAAAAGCGACAGAGCCTGCTGCTGCTCTTCTAGTCCATCTGACATTTTCTGGACACACTGTAGCAGCTGGAGCCTGAGGACCTGAAGAATGTTATCAGGCAGCAGTGATATTCCTGGAGGAATGTCATCCACCCTAAAGACAAAAAACCACACACAAAATTGTTAATCATGCAAATGACATGTTACCAATCCATTTCAGTGTGCTCATGTAGTGTTCCAATAAACCTCTGTAAGAAATGGTACTGAACTGATGGCTCACAAACACTCTCTAATGAACCACAAAGAAATGCCTGGTGGCAATATGCCAGCTTGAGCATCCTTTTCCCCAGTCATGAACTGCATTGAAAAAAAAAGTGTTAAAAATTCATTAAGTGGACTCCTAAATGTTCCTCCATGCAATGATCTGCCTTAATTGCTACAGAGAAATTGCATGATCTTCAGCAGGTAAACAGGTGGCCTGGAAAATCCCTAAATAAGGAAAGGGATGGCCACAATGGAATGAAACATGAAAACCAAACAGAAGTGGAACATTTTCAACTTTCTGTTGAAGATTGAAAGTGTCCAAATAAACGAGAAGCCAATTATTAAATAGTTATTGAAGCCCCGCTGGTATTCAACCACAGTGAACCTCATGTCTTTCTTACATGAACTACAAAAAGCCATACAAAATAAGATTAAATACAAAAAAAGAAAGCTGTTCACAATAAGATTAAACAAAGGAAGGCTTGAAAATCAGGGACTGAATGTGCAGGAGAGAGAGCTCTCAAAAATCCATCTGACTCTTGCCACATTTTTGCATGAAAAGCTGACCCATCCTTATTAGTTTCTGGATATCATTAACCCAGCAAATAGGGTTTTTTTCTGCTATCTAATTATTTTAGGAGACAAAAAAAAACCAAAACAAAACCAAAAAAAACCCTGTTGCGTTGGTGTTAAATGTAACAACTCTGCCAAGGCCAGACATGGCCCTGAAGAACATTAGGTACTTCTCTTGCCTATTGTTTTTGCTAAACTGAAACATTTTTCAGAAACACACCAATAAGAACCAAAAGAAGAAAAGAAAAAAAGAAAAAAATAATCACAAATAAAACCAAGTAGCTAAGCCAATGCTCCAGGAACAGCTGTATAGAAATCCACTTCAGCAACAGTATAGAAATATAGAGATGTGTTAGAACATACTCTGGAATGAAGACTGTTTATCCACTGTTGCACACACTAAAGAGAGTTTGCCTTTGACATGAGCTGTTTACCCTGACATGTTCTCTATGAACTCTATACAGGAAAAGGAAGATACAAGCCACAGCCTTACAGCTTACAAAAGCCTTCAACATGGCCAAAGCCAGAGGGAAAATGACAACAAACAAAAAACTCAGCTAGCTCAAAAACTCACTGATATGACACTTGCATACGTACATCTGTGTAAGAATATGCATCAAGAAGCGTGGAGAAATGCAATGACTGACACTAAACACCGTGATACCAATTATTTGAGGGAAATAGGGAATGATGCATTGTTTAGCTTCTAAAGTTGAAAAGGAAGCCTATAAAGAAGGGAAAAACCAAGACCCAGTTTAGTAAAACAACTAGACAGGTATTAAGTGACAGCAAGCTCCCATGTCCTAGAAAACAAGTGTTGCCTATACTCATACAGAGGACCAAATACTGTTCATTCCCTTGCCTCTTCACAGAGTTGTGCAATTTGCTTTCCAGATCCTGGGATTCAGAATCTCAAGGGAGTCAGAAAGTTTTAACACAAATTTTATAGGGCCTAGGCTCTAAACTGATAGAGACACTAACCACAAAACTGAAAGCAACTGCTTTTTTCCAACACAACTGCCAAGAAAGAAATTTTAATTTCCACGATAGCAGCTTCACCCCTCAAGATGCCAGCAGACCCATACCCTCTGGGACTATAAGCATGGCTCCTCATAATCTGATAATTCACCATCTCTGTATTAGGAAGACCATAATTTTTGACAGCTGAAATCATATATCCAGAAGTAATTTCCCTAAAATGGCCAACAAGTCTTTTTCAGTAAGATCATAAAATGCTTTACAAGAGAGCAAACAGCATACCCTTCATGCCTCACATCCCAAAGAATGTTTCGTCTGCAGTAGCTGCCTGTCTGTGCTATTGCACAGCCCATGAGAATTTACTGCCTTATGCAAGACTGGCACAAGAAATACTAATCAGGATTACTCAAACAGAATATACTACAGAGTATATAAATAAATATAAATATTTATAAATAATCAAACTTCTTTTCACCCCAGAGCTAATTACTACTATATCACCACAAAAATCTAGGGTTGAATTTGTGGACATGTAGTACCACTTTTTCCCAACAAGACTAGCTGTGTAAATTAAGTATTCCAAAAGGAAGAAAAAAAAAAAAAAATCGCAAAAAACATACCTTAACTGACATTCTTATTTGACTGTTGGTACCTTACCTCAAAAACATGAGAAAGACCTTGACAAATTCAGGTTCTTTTTATTTATAATTTCCTTGCATTACATTAACATGGTTATGCAGCAATATAAACTGCCATCTCGGGTGTTTGAAAGGAAGTTAAACTAGTCTCTAAATTGTATTTGCCTGTTACAGCTCAAATTTACACAACTGGGACTTTCAACCTCTCCTCCACCAGCGGTAAGCACTTTGGAACAAACTGCTGTAGAAAACCAGGCTTTACTTTTCCACAACCATGAAACCATGTAATCAGCATTCCTATCATGATTCCTGCATCAATTTTATGTGGGTTTGAAGTAAATAAGTTTAAAAAAGTACGGTTTCTATGGTACTCTGCATGAGCTTCCTTTAAGCTCCTTCGCTTGAGATGATGCAAACTAAAAGCAGAAAAAGAGCATGACAACACTCTGGAGGCCTTTGTTGTTTCTAAAAGTATTAAACCAAATGATGATTCCTCTCCTTCAATGAGGGGGAAAAAAACCTCCCACCAGCTGGTAAAGGTTTTATCCTTTTCACAGTAAATACATATGAGATGAATAAGTGTTTTTAGGGAAAAAAATAGACAGGTGCACTAATCTTTTGTGCTCAATGCTCAAAGCCATCAGCATAGCTATTTTCACCTTTTCAGTAAAATCACCTCACCTTTTCAGTTAAGATAATTGAAAACACCATTAATGAACCATTTCACTTAAAAATATAGGGTAGTTGCACAAAGATGGAGGTAGAACTGAAGCTGTATAAGCCTATAAGCTGCATAAGCATATAAGCTCTACTTATACAGTCAAATCATACCACTGAATACACTCATCCGCTATATTTAGAGATTTCCTAATTCTGCACTATGTAGCTTCTTTCAGATTTCCAAAGCAGATTTCAGGAAATTATATTATTTTAATTTATAGAAAAAATAATCTTTATCAGTTAAATCAGCAAGTGACAGTGCCAATTAAGAGACCTTCCTTCAGGAAAATAAACCACTAATAGTTTAATTACAATTCTTAAGTGGTGTTTTCTTGGATGCTAAGAAAACCGCATCTGTTTTACATTGACACAAAACTTCATGCCTCTCTTTCAAAAGGTTAGTTTCATCCAACAATCTGTACAAGCTTTCTTCTCCCTACACAGTTTCTCATTATTTCCTGGCATTTGCCCTTCAGTACACAAGGTCTTTCAAGCACATAGCTGTAAAGCATACCAAGATTTATATAAGGAAAAAAAAAGTATTAGTCCACTCAGTTTTTCATTTTAGCTAGCATCATGTATTATTTCCAAGACCAAAAGACAGAATTAGTTATTTAATAAACAACTCCAGTAAAAAAAGTTGAGTCCACAGGGTCCTATGGCCCCAAGAAAAGAACCAGTGTGGAACCATTTAGTGGTTCCACACTGACCTACTTGTTCTTTTTTGCGGGCTCAGTAATATCAGTTCCACAATGTAAATGCCTGCAATATAAATTAACAAACCCCAGAAAGATGCCACTTTTCATATGCCTGATTATCTCACAAATGCAAATAAGGGCAGAAACTGCAATTCTTTGTTAATTCTAATATCTGCTCTCAAACAGTGCAATTTTTAATCCAGCCATCAAAGCACAGGAATGATCTGCCTTCATCCCTGTGTTGTTTTGATATGTTTTCTCCACATCTGTTACACAAACGAGTCTAAATCCACATGGGTCTGTTCTTCCAGGCTAAATCACTAGCCCTGTCATTAACCTCAGAAAAATACACTACTTTTTATGCTCACAAAACCATCATTTATCACAATGAAGGTGCTGCTATTCTGCACAACTAAGCTTCGTGTTTTTATCTTTTGTTATGTTACTGTAAAAAAACCCACCAAACCCAAAAACCATGAATACACATAAACCCAAACACACTTAAAAAAACCAAAGTACCAAGATATTCTTTTCTTCCACTGTTCAGATTTCAATATTGAATTGTATGTTAAAGATAATCTGTGTCAAAGGATAAACCTTTCTCCTTAACTAAACGCAGTAAGATGCATTTTTGACACTGCAAAGAAAACAAATCTTCTGAAAGAGCACAGAACTAATTTGGAGGTCTTGCTTATTGGTAAGAGCACTATGTATTTTGCATTCATATAGACATTATTAGGAAAATTTTAATACAGAGAGCTGAGAAGCCCAGTTTTTATCCACTGAGATCCAGTTGCAGCATTCTTCATTTCCTTGTAACAGTAGAGGCTATCACTTACACTTCAAACCAGATCTGATCCAAAGCCCGTAAAAGAATTTCCATTGATTTCAATAGGGCTTGGACTGCAGCCATCATGCAGGGAGAGCCATTCTTTGCATTCAAACACCAGTAGCGGTATCAGCTATGATACTGGCACCACTTCTCATGATTTCTGAATCCTATAACTTTTTTTGTCTTAAAACCCTTAGTTCATGCAAGCATCTCAAAAGCAAGAGAAAACATCCAGTGCCTAAGTTCCTATTCCTCATTTGCAAAGTTAGTCTTGAAAACACAATCCTTAGAACACAGCACACATTGAAAATACTAAATATGGAACTCCAAAATTAGACTTCAGTACCACCTCATGATTATATCTGAGAACTTGTGGTCAGCAATATGAGTAGAAGTCAGCAATACTCTTGTCCTGAACTGAAGTCTTCACAGACACAAAGAAAGAAATTGCTTTAAAGTCTATGATTTGTGCATTATAATTTTTAAAAGGTTTTTCAGCTAAGATGCCCAAATCTTTCATTAAGCATTCCATCTCATCCTTAACTTAAAGCGATCCCTGAAATAAAATTACAAAACTCTTTGCCTACTTCTTACTTCTCTTCAGTCACTGCTGATACCGATACCAAGCGCTAATACTAATACTATTTCATATGCAACATTTAATGAATACTTATTCAAAAAACGCACAAGGAATAATGATTATATTTCTACGAGCAAGAACAAGTGAATACTCATGCCATCTTCTGATATAATGCAAATACCAGTATTTGCCTAGTTTCATCATTCCTAACCTGACCTTCAAAAGAATGGGAGTGCCACTCAACAACTAAAAATCTTTCTTTTAAAGGCGGTATTGCCATTGAACAAGACTGGGCTCTCAGCCAGGCCTGTTTCAGGTATCAAAGATGAAGAGGTCTGTAATTCTACATACCTAGTTGGCAGCTTCTCAAAGTCCAAATCCAGAAACTGTTCATAGCTAGAAACAAAACTATCCAACCACAGCTTCAGGTAATCTGGATCTTTCTGTAAAAAAGAAGAGAACATTAGGCAATATTGCACTCCAGGTCTTCCGTCAACAACTCTGTAGTACTAACTTGAATGGAAAACTTTTCGTTAACGCTTTTCGACTGGGAATAAGGAGGGAATATGCAGATTTTTAGAACTAAAATTAAAACAAAACAAAACAAAAAAAAGCCAACTGGGTCCTTTGAAATTCTCAGCCATGTTGTGCTGATGTGACATTCTTGATCTATTCATTAGTTCATGTGTTTCCATTTCCTGGTACCAACGCCAACCAATGCATTTTAGCTTCTCCCCCCACCAACAATCTTTACCTACTCTCCAGAGTAATACATACCAGCTTTACAAAATTACTAGTATATTCTGGTCTTGATAGCATAGACATTAGTACACAACACTCTTTATGGCTTATAAAATTAAATAAGAACTCCAATAACAATCCTAATCACAAAATAATTTGCTTTTTGCTTCATTCATTGATCAATATGGCAGCTAGCAGCAGATTAGAACCAGATGAAGTGTTCCAATAGACAATGCAGAGCCTGCAACTTGTATACTAGATATCTATAAAACAGACAGGAATTTAAACTCAGGCTTCCTAGTTGTTCTTAGTAGAGCACACAGACTGTTCACGCCAGCAGTTCCTCAGGGCTGGGTACTGTGGCAGCAGGGAGGACAGACACTAGAACCCACAGCATTGCCAAACAGACAAGACTTGCAAAAGCAACAGGTAAATTGTATGCCAGAAGCAGTTGGTTGATTAGGTGTTGGTAACTTAGGGCTAATATAACACTAGGAAAAAAAAAACCAACCCAACCTATTTCTTCTAGCTTCTACTAATCTATCTGCTGTAATAACAAGGCTTCTCTTATGCCACACTGTTTTAATGTTATCACATTCAGGGTCATACCCTGGCAAACCCAAGATAGTGAGACAAGTCGTATCTCGGTTTGGTAGCCCTAAACCCAAAATCATGTCTAAGCTTTGCATTTCCAAAAACACCTGTGTTTGCCATTTACCCCAAACCATTATGAGGAAAGTACAACAGGATATTCTAATATTGAAGAAATTCAAGGGACATTAAGAATATGCTCTGAAGGAGCCACCTTGCAATATAAACTTGCATAGGAAAAAGGTCTGTCCCTGGGGAGCTGGGGAAAGATGCTAAGGAGCTTTCAACTTTTCTTCCACCACAGGAAAAATTCTGTCAAAATATGCCGTTTGAGATAGCCTCATATTAGAATTCAAGCTGCTTAATTTTCAAAAGCAAGCTGCTAGACCATAGCTAACATATTCCTCCACAAAGACTGTACAGTCATGTCCATTAATACACATCCATGCAGTCCCACATTCTGTTATAAATAATTTTCAAAATAACTTTAAAATATTTGCTTAAAGTATTACAGATTTTAAATTATTTCTAAATCTACTCCGTAGTTTATAAAATTTTGCAGAAATTTTTAAACTTTTTTGTTCATCCTTCTCTTTCCCCTTTTCTGTATCTCCTCCCTTTTGCTTGTTGCCTTTATATTACCATAGATGTTCCCAAATAACAGATTATTTCCCTGCAGTGTTAAGACCAAGGAGCAGTCTGTGAATAACTCTAACACACATAGTACTCTGGGGCAATGTCAATGTAAAAGAAAGAGTCACCAAGAAAGACTGACACACAGTCCTGTCAGTGCAAAACAGCTACATACAAAACAGCCTCCCACAGAGTAAAATAAAAATGGAAATTCAGAATCTGAAGTGCTGCAAACTCTTCTCAGAGCACCTTTCCACTGCAAGTACAGGAGTTATAAAACATGGGAATCCCTTTCTCATTCTAAACTTTACCTTTCCCCATATCCCCAAACTCAAGCAAGAAGTGTCAGAAACACCCAGACACAATTTACTTCACTATCACTATTAATTATATATGAAACGTGTTCAGATACTGTGACAACAGGTGCCAAATAAAACCCTCAGCTAGATACATCTTACCTTATTTGCTTCCACTGCCTTTACTGCATTTTCTTTCTAATTTTTCCTAATTGTCTTATTTCCCCTTCTTCCACTTCATTCCTAATCTCTCCCTCCTTTATAATCTTCCTTCTCCTCATGTCTGCTTTTATTCCCCTTTCAATGATTTGAAGTCATCACTCCCTTTCTTTTTCTGTTAAAAATTTGCCAAAGAAGTATTATGTCCTGTAAGCGCAATGTAGCCTTGTCGTCATGTTTAATATGCAGTGAACTACCAAATGGTTAAGTTATCTTAAAACACACACCTATTATTGTCCTCAACATGAAATTGCGACATACAGAATGAAGAAAGCTGTTGAGATGAAGATAAATTCAAGGTTTCCAAGCTACGGGTTTAAGCTACAGAGGCTGACAGGTTATCTCAACCAGGTAAGTATAGAACACACATTTCTCAGGTTCAGAGATCAAACACCTTGAAAATCAAACCAAAAGATGGGCAAGAAGACTTGTTAATATCCTGAAAGAATGAGCTAGAAGTAGCAGGAGATGCTGTCTTCAGACATCATGGCTTTTTAAAAACGTTTGCATATTTAAAACTTTAACTGTCTTGTAATTCACAGCAAGTTATTTTAGCCACATGCAAGCTATTTCACAGGATCATAAAGATGAAGAAAACCAGGATACGATTTTAGCAGTTACAATATAGCTCAGGCTACAAAGCAATAGCATCCATAGAGAAGTAACCAACAGGAACTTTGCCATATGCATGTGTTCATGCATCTAATGATAATAATGTCCATGCATGTGCAAAAACTGAACCTATTTGACTTTTTTCCTGTTGAACGAACTGCTTTGTTTTTTCTTGGCATGAGCAAGTTCTCCTTGAAATATAACATGAATTACTAAATTGATTCTATTTGGTTTCCAAAATTAAAATTGTTTCATGGCACAGCTGAGGCTCATCGTTAATTGTAAACTTTTATAAGACACCTCAGTTTTTCTTGGTCATGTACCATGAAGGAAGCTGTGCAAATAACATCATTATCTGACTTAAAATTGCTTTAACAAAAGGTTATGGATGAGAGAAGGGCAAGGGGAGGACAAAAGACGACATTAGACTAAATGTCTGCTTGCTCCTTTTTAATGATATAGCCCAAATCAGCTTCAAGCTTAAGATTAAATTAAACCTCCTTATCCTTAAACTATAAGGCCTTTGCTAGGCTATCAGTGCAGACTAGCAGCAAGACAGAACATTGGCAGACAAAACATGCAAGAAAAAGCAATTATGCAGATGACAAGAGTAGGCCACAGATGTTACAAAAGGCCACAAGTTTTTGCTTCCCTGTAGTGCACATACTGCTCAATTCACTTTGTCACTAAAACTCCTCCCAATTCTGGTAAAAACTAAGAACTGCAGTACTGTTTGGTCATTACCTGCAGCACACTATTTAACCTAACTCCCTTCTACCTCAATCCCCTGCCAGCAAATTTTATATTATTCCAAGTTGTTAAAATAATCAGCTTTGCTATCAAAATACCAGGTAACACTTCTGGTATGTGCCAGCAGAAAAGAGCTTAAACAAGAGCTGACTCATTCTGAGTCAAACCTAGAGATTTCCATCCAGGCAATATCACTAACTCAACACCACTTGGGGAAAAAAAATATTAGAAAAAAAATCATCAAGGCAAAAAAGTAAACAAGATCACTTAGCAACATAAGAAACACTAAGAAATAAATCTGCATTATAAACTATCTAATAGAAGTATGCCACCTTTTCAGAAACAAACAAAAATGAAGACTTACAAACTAAGAGTACATCGTTCCAGGAAAAAGTGATCCAATATTTAACAGTTTTGCTACAAATTAAGACATATAAGTTATTTCAAAGATGTTAGAAACAGAAGGTTTTTTTGTTTTTACAGCTTTCAAACTTTGAACCTGGCCCAGGTTTTCCTTTCTCTTTTAGCAGCAATCAGCCCAGACCCCATGCACCAGTCACCTGTTGAAAGCTGCAAGAAATCTAAATTTTACTGAAGCAGTTTTAAGAAAGGAAACTTACAATGGCAAAGTACACAAAAATGTCCATTCCTAAAACATAGCTAAATACACACCTTTCTGAAGACCAGCCTACGTATTTCAAATGCATCTTACATTTTACCAAACCAGAAGCGTGATGGTTTAGGAGAAAAACTGTCTTTTTACATTGGTTTAAAATTCTAATTTCATAATAAAACCAGACAGCAGTAATGGGTATCAGCTGCTTCCTGTGCACCACGTACACTGCAATTTTCCTACCCAGCATCTTTACCTTGAACTGAACATGTTTTTTGAGGTCAGCTGCTGCTGCTTAATCTTAAGTTTAAATTCAGTGGATTTCAGAATTTATTTCTGTTGAGTTCTCTTCCCACCCACCTTTTCAACTATCCTCTGTTTTCTCATGATAGAAGTGGTAAACCACATTAACAGCAGAACACAAACTGACCTAATTTGAACATGAATACATCTGTGTTCTTCAATGCGAGATCCACTTTCCAAGCCAGTACATGTTGCAAGCTGACAAATACCTGTGTCACCACGTGGCAGAAGATCGCGTCCCTTGGGTATGGCAATACTTTAGATCTGTGTTGCTACTGAGCGCAACACATCACTGAACTGCAACCCCAGCTCCAGCTGATTCACTATAAATTGTTAGCTACTCCATTGTATCTGCAGTCCTCCTAAGGAAGCAGTGTAACTTAGCCAGACCATAATAAAGCATCTTAAGTACTCAGAAGCCTTATTACCAGTAAAAGCAGTGAAACCTATGGAGTATGTTCTCTTATTCCCCACTTTCATAATTACCCTTTCGTTGCCATTCCACAGACAGGCGGTATGACATAACAAGCCAGGTAGTACTGAACTCTTACAGCTTACTCTAAGTTAAATGAAAACATTGTACGCAAAACTGGCATTGAAGTCCTCCCACTGAAAGTCTTTAGACCTGCGCCTGTGGAATGCAGGCACATTTACCCAAGGTATCAAATCAACACTATTTATGTACTTATATCTGTGTTGCTTTTAGATTTAACAGTAACTTCCATTTCTGCTAAGGCTTCAAGCAAACAGCCACAACTAGAAGGTCAAAGCTCAGTGCAATTTTTATAGCTACGATCAGGAAGTAGTAGTTGCTAAAAACAAAAGCTGGATCCACCCGAGGCTATTTGCAGTGTCACATTCCGTGCTCTAAAGGCAAAAATTCCCTGCAGGGCAGTTCAGAGTCCGACTGTCAGACAAGCCCGACTTGTTTGACAAGACACTTGTTTGAAGTCGTTAAATTTAACATGCAGTCATAAAATAGCCAGCCTGGTCCGACTACTGTGCATAGCAGTCAGTCAGCCTTCAAAGTGGATTTCGGCTTAGAAGCACCACCATAAAATCTCACTGGCACTGGTATTATAACTAATCCCCCATCCCCAAGCATTATATTTAAAATAAGAACAATCCCTTGGTGTTAAGGCTGAACTAGACCTACAAAAGTAACATTAGGAAATTAAATATGAAATACTGCCTTTAGATCACTGGAGAGTTTAAGAGTCTTAAAACTAATTGAAGTAGTCGGTATAATGAAGAATTGTAGAACATTTCCCAACACTGTTTGAAATAAACTATTCATTGCGGGATTAGGTGGTTTGTTTTAAGGGAGCTTTTTCCTCTTCACACTTTCAGACATAAAAGGCAACATTTTCAGCACAAGGTCTCCTAGCAGCCTTTATTCTGAAATATGTCAAAGTGCTTATGCTTTTTGTGAGCCTTTCAAATCTGTAAAATGCCAAAATAAAACCTGAAAAGCTTCATTATAGCAGCAATACTACAGTTAGAATTACTAAAACACTTGATGATAAATGCTTATAAACTGGCTAAATTTATCAAAATTCAATCAATTCTAATTATCAAGGGAATCACCTTTGGGCAGAACTTTTCATTTTAATCACAATACTGATTTTTGAATCAACTGTTGAACCAAAAGAAGAAAGGCTCCTGGCAAGTAATTATAAACCTCCTTTTTGAAAATT